GTAAAAGACTAATAAATTAGTAAACAAGCAAGCCCTAAAAAAATCCATTGGAAGGGGCTGATTACGTGAGAATATACAAGTCCTAAGGAGAAATGAAAACAATGGAGTTCATGGGTCAGTCGCAACCCTAATTTTATTTTTTACGTTTCTCATATCTGATACGCATGTTATTTCACCATCTTCATGTCATATAAAGAGCCGGACACGAAAGCATACAACACTCAATTTATTGATTATATGCTGCGATTTTACAAATATCAAAAAAATATTTTATTCTTATTGACAAAATTGAATGATTGAAATTAAATTGAAATCGAAGCGAAAGTTGTGATTTTATTTGCAATATTATCTTTATTTTATCAATAAAAATGTTGTTTCGGAGGTACATGTAGTCGTGTAGGAAGATTGTTTGCTTCTTCTATAACGGTTTAGATTAGATAGTCGTACCTTTTTAACTAGTATACATATAATAAGAATTACTATTTATCAAAAATGGCAAGTCAAAATCTATAGTCAAAGCCTCTTATCATTAATGACTTGCAATTAATAACAATTAATATATTTATTTTAAACACAACATTAAATGCAGTCTATACCATGTGGAGTTTGTTGCATTACATGACCAAAAAACAGGGATTGTTTCATTAATTTGTTAAGCATTAGTTTGTTAAAAAATCCATACTAGTACATTAATTTGTTACATAAAATCTCGTGTTTTTTAATAAACACGAGGTTGGCCCTTTATTATTTTCACAAAATGTTGATACATTTTTAAACATATCATAGCGCTATTGCATGTTAATTTTTTATTTTTCTCAGATTTTAAAACTTATAGAAAGATAAATTCGGAATAGAATTTAAATATTTGGCAGTTTTTATTTTTTAATAAAAAAATGGTTGATTAAATAAAAATAGAAATTTTTTTAACAGAAAAATAGCTAATATAATTGTAATGATTGGTGAATAGAGAATAAGTAAAACTATTATTTTCTCTTATATCAAGGAATAAATATATATACTAAAATCAAATTTATATTAGTATAAATGTATTAGTGGGATAATATATTAATTATATTACAAGCTAGCCCCAACATGCTCATATTTAATGTTATGGCTAAAAAAATAATGTTGATTAAAAAAAAGTGAAAAAGATATTATAACTCTATTGTATTTTAGACTTAACGTTTGTTAAAAGAGGTAGAAAATAGATGTTAACCTTATTACATTTTATAATCGGACAGAACTTGTGAAAATAACTCATTTAATATTTCTACGTACTAGTAATATTATAATAAAAGTTTGATACTTTATATATAATCATTATATAAAAATTGAGTCACTTCATTAATCGGTTTCATATAATTATTTGTGTTATTGTATCTTCCCTCCAAAATGGAACTCAAAATCTGATGGGAAGCACGTGGGAATGACCGCCCGCACACGTGCCAACTCAGAGTGAGAAGTATCTAAAAAAAAAAAGACGACATTAAACAGTCAACACGGTTGTGCACATCACATTAGATTCTGAAATAAGTCGAGCTACATTTCTTTATTTTCCATTTTTCTTTTCCATATATCATGTGCGAGTATAACAAATAAAAAATAAATAAATAAATAAATTGTATCTTATAATTACATTTTCGTTTCTTTCCTTTTCTTCGGTTAATCCGGCGTAAAATGGGATCCCCGCTCGTTCTAATTAATTCATTATCAAGCAATTAATGGGTTTATTTTTAGAGATTAAGTTAGGAATATTTGTTCTTTCCCCTTCACATTGTACATGCATGATGTGCATCAAATATAGGACCTCAAAATTTTCGATTGAATCGTTTGGCCTCGAAAAAATTTGAACCACGAATCGGCTGAAAACAATTAGGGAAAAGTCCAAGTATAAACATTTTGACGTTCAAATCAGACATCATCTATATATATATATATAATAAGAATTACTATTTACTAAAAATAGTAAGCAAAAAAATCTGGCAACATTAATTGCATACCATTTCGGACAAGTTTTGTTTTTATTTTTTATTTATTAATGAGAAATATTTAAATATGCCTTCAATCACGGATAGTTAGTTTTGATAACCAAATTGCTCAACTTTGGTACAAATAATGTTTTTAAAAATTTGAGTTTTATTTCAATACCAATCCTTTTTAAAATTAATTGATATTAACATTCATTATTTGGGCAAAAAAAACTTGCAAGTTCTTAAC